CGATATTTTGGCCAAAGCGATATTTAGAGTGTAATCGTACCGGTCGGACCACCGGTAATAGCGACGGGTACGATACGGTATTTAAAACATAGATTAACGAGTTGAGCCAAGCTGCTCATTTATTAAACTAACTGAACTGTTGAATTCGAACCTCGACAATGAATCATAAATAGTGAATTAATTAAACTCTCTTGATTAATTTAGAAGTTTTAATTTTTTTTGTCGGAACGAAAGACTTTTATAAAAAAAACATATAATTAACCTAGAACTCAGCCAAAAGTCGAATCTAGTAGGAGCCAGGAGTAGGGGTGAGCATGGTGCGGTTCGGTGCAGAACCGCATCGAACCGCAATAAACCGAAAACCAAAAATATTTATTTATCCAAACCGAACCGCACCGTAATTGGTAGAAAAACCGAACTGAAACCGCACCGAAATTTTTGATTCGGTTCAGTGCGGTTTTGGTTAACCGCAATTTTTTTTTAAAAAAAAAAAAAGAAAAGAAAAATGCACCCAAAATAAAATGAAGCTACATCATTATCATCTAATGAACCAAAGGCCAAAAATTTGAACTGAAAGTGAAAAAGTAGGGTAAGAAATTAGATTTTAATGTAATGTTTTTAAATTTTAATTGTTATTGTTATTGTTATTATTTATTACTTTACTTATGCATTGTTAATGTTAGTAATCTCAAACCAAAGACCCAAAATGAGCAATGTATATGTACAATACAAACTTGTTAACATATTTGTTAAAAAATAAAAATAAACAAAAAAATATTCGGTGCGGATTGGTTAAAACTGCACCCTTCGGACAAAAAATCGAACCGAACCCAAATTTGTGCGGTTTTTCAAAATTTTAACCACACCGAAAATTGAACTCTTGAAAAACCGAACCGAACTGCACTGAATACATTGGTTCGGTTCCATTTTTCGTTTCAGCTCTGTTATTGCTCACCCATAGCCAGGAGGACATCTCTTTCAGGAGCCTAAACTACCACAACGCACTCATGATAAAACATAACTCCTAACAGGAGAATACGCATCCCAAAGAGATAAAAACCTAAAAACACAGCGTAACACATGAAAAACATTAGGAAGAAAAAAACTTAACACAACCAAAATACAATAGACTAAAGCCCCTCACCCAGCCAGAAAAACACGCCAAACGAACCACATAGGCAACACCTACGGCTGACCACTCATACGGACCGGATTTCGCCCCAAATCTCAGATCCAAAAACTGTAACACACGCCTAACTGGAGCCAACGCTCAAGAGCTCTACCCCCCGCCCAAGTAACCAACCACACCCCTCAGGCGGAGGAAACTGAACAACCCCCCACCACAACCACCGCCTCAAGCCTAGCCTACACCACGAGCCAATCCACGTCATGTCGGTCGTCCCCTTGGCTCTCGCACCAAGGGCAAAGGGGACAAGGGGGAAAGCCCACCATCCTCCGCCCCGACCACCACCTCTCGGCCATCGGAGCCACAACCCACCCCCGCATAAACACTGTCGTCCCCCGCAGCCTTGCCGCTAAGGAGATCGACAACATCCTTCCCAATAATGCAACCAATTGAGTGGTGAGATCATATCGGGACCAGTCAACCTACCCATCAGCGCGAGAAGACCTCCCGACACAAAATAAAGGCTAAGACGTGCAGCCAGGGACCAGCCGTCGTAAATAAGCCCGATAACATGACTAGGGAAGGCGAAACAGAGGACAAAATTGATTAGAGCATAAAGAGGGGAAGGGGGGAAGGAACGAAGAGAGAGAGAGAGAGGAAAAAAAAAAAACAAGGATGCCCTTTTATGTTTGTTAATTAGAAGTTTTAAGCTTGACTAACACGTTTTGACAAGTCGAGTCAAACTCAATGCATTTATTAAACTAATTATGGGTCATCTTAGTAAAGACACCAGTTATCTATTTTTAATATTTTATTACTTAAATGACTAGTACGTAACCCGTGCGATGCACGGGATGTAAAATTTGAAAGAATAATATAACCTCACGTGCATTAGGATCGAAATTGAAATCATTAAAATACATAGGAACATTATTGAATCATAAAAAGTTCGGTAACAATCATATAATATTAAAAACCTCCTTGTACACAACATTATGAGTTTGATTATTTGGTAACTCCTCATTATCACAAACTAATATTTTCAAAAGAGACAAATCCTAAAAATCAAACTAATATTTTTGGTGAACAAAGTAATATTTTAGGATTAGTGAACAAACTAATATTTTTGGATTTCTAGGATTTGTCTCTTTTTGGTGAACAAACTAATATTTTAGGATTGATTATATGAATAAGGCTATCTGTTTTTGGTGTTCTTTCCATTCATTTTCATTCAAACAATCCGATGACTTGTATAATGAAATCCAAATCTTAAGCCGAAATATTTAAAAAAAGAGTTTTTAAAAATTGAAAAGTCAAAGCAATCAGTTCAGATTAATTAAAGGTCAAAGAATATCCGCTCCTTGAAATAAAGACGTGTGCTATCATTAACCAAATATCCGGTTATTGATATAGAGTGGTTACCAAAAAATAGAACGCGATAAGGATGCTTCATGGAAATATCAATGGATGAGGTCATAACAGATCGCTATATATTTTAAGGATAAAAGCTCATATGGAATGATTTATGATAATTATGTCGTAATTAATGAATTAATTAGATGTGTGAAAAGGATATAATTAATGAGAAGTGTGAAAATGACATAATTAATGAGAAGTGTGAAAAGGACAAAAACTTACCGATTTTGAAAAATATTTAATGCAAATCCGACATTGACCATAATTTGACCTACTATTTTGGATAAATATTAATTCTTATTATATAAGTATAGATATGGCTGATTCTATATTCCACTTTTTCCCACCAAATTGCCTGTTTTGTATTTGTTAAAATTATTTATATTTAATTTATTGTTTAGTGTTTTTTTTAATATATCTGACGGTTTCTTCAATTCTTCTTCTTCTTCTTCTTCTTCTTCTTCTTCTTCTTCTTCTTCTTCTTCTTCTTCTTCTTCTTCTTCTNGTAAAGATTTAGATTTCAATCATGTTTTTTTAATTTCCAATATGTAAATTTAATGCAAAATCCAAATCCTTGAACACTAAACAATCCTCTGAAAATTTTTATAGAATTATCATCACCTGAGGATTCATCCCCCAAGGCTACCCACAGATCGTCATTCCCAAACCATCAGTTGAGCCTTCAACGGCCACCGCCTGACTTCAGCCGGCGTCGTATAGAGGCACAACCATACGCCGAAATCGAGAAGCCACACCGTCTTAAGAGTCCCAGTGCTACGGTTTAGCTGACCAAAGATTTGTACTCGTCCTCTTCCACAATGCCGTAAATTGGATCCCCCATCTTGATTTGGGTCGCTGACGGGTTGAGGGGCTGCGGCCTGACGTATTTGGGCCGCGTGAAGGTTGAGGAGATATTTCAAGTCGTCGGGCCATTTGCGAATCATGGTTATGAGGTAATGAAAATTATTTTTTTCTTTCTAGAAATTTAGAAATTGCTCTAAGTTCACGAACCATGGTTATTATGCTCCATGTTCTCGTTCTTTTTTTTTTTTTTCATTCGATTTNNGGTATTGTTGTAGCACAATTTTTCAATTTACTGACAACAAGTTGTTGTTTAATAGTTGTTATGGTGTTCTTTTAATGTTGTTTAATAGTTGTTTTTATGTTATCTCTGATTTAGCCATTTCTGCAAAAAATGTCGGAGGTACTGGACGAAAGGTGTTGCCTTGAGGAGCATCCCAGTTGGCTGTGACTTTAAGAATAATTCAAAAAGTCGCTTCAGTAATTTATTCTTAGACATTCATGATGTTTGAAGAAGAAGAAAAAAAATGGAAGAAGAAGAGAGAAAAAAACGTGAAATAGAAGAAAGAAAAAAGAATGAAGAAGGGCAATGAAAATAAGATAGAAAATAGTTATTAATTTATTTTTTGAAATTGTTGTTTAATAAGGAACTTCTTGTAATAATTTGACAATTTTGTAATTATAATACTTGGGTTATTTATGGATTTTTGTTTATTTAGTTATGGACTTCCCATTACTCCCGAGTCCTCATTCGTCATTTTGTAAATTGTTCGTGCCCAAAATGGGCAAAACACCCTCCTCTTTTTCTTTACGTGGGGCCCACCCTTTAAAACACAAAAGCATTGCCAGGTCAGCACACCCTCCCCAACTAAAATATTTTCAAATGCGTCTCCCTCTCTTTCTCTAACCCTCACCTGCCCCAATCTCATTGCTTAAAACCTGTGTACATTGTTGACAAATAGGCCTCGCGTATATTTTGGGATTAATGTTAATTTCCTTTGTAAATTTAATTATCACAAATTTTTGTAACAAACAATACATATTTATATTATAAAATATTATACTGTTTTTTATTCTCTTTATTTAGTATATTACATTTCATTTGAAAGTATCAATTGAAATTCAATTTTTTGCCTTTTGTTTATGATGAACATATATGGAAAATGTACGTACATTCACATGTAAAGGTAAAGTAGTGGCTAAATAGTAAATACAACTTACTTGATTATTTTTTTTAAAACTTATATTTGTGGAGATTACCCAATTTATTGATGAAATAATTATTATATTTGATTGTCAAGATTAGATTACTGACTAATTTTATGAAAATTAGATTAGAATTAAATTTATATAAATAAATATTTGGCACAAACAATGCATCAAATCAAAGCCAAAAATCCTTCTCTCTCATCTCACTACTGTTGCAGTCTAATAAGCTTTTTGAGACTCCCTCTCGAAAAACAAAAGGAAAATAAACCTACTTTGCAACCACTACAGTGCTCTCTGTACCTTCTCCCACCTGCTTGCCCATTTTCCCTCTTTTATTCCGTCGAACTATCTCCAACCACGCACTTACCCCAAATTTTTCTGAAAGAGGAAGAGGGTTGGGTTTTCTTGGGATTTTTTGTTTTTTCAATTTTTGGTGCCTTTTTCAGTTGATAAATATACAATCCTTTTTGCTCCACCGTTTTGGGGGGATAGAGATGAGTCGGGGGATGTGATGGGGGCGGGATTTTCGCAGGCGTTTCCCTGTTTCAGCCCAGGTGGCGGCCCGACCGGGTCCGACCCGGACGCCGTCTTCACGCCGGAGGCGCCGCTCGACGAGACCCTCGGCCACTCCTTCTGCTACGTCCGCTCCTCGGCTCGGTTCGCCTCCCCGACCCCCTCCGATCGATTCGTTTCCCCTTCCCAGTCCTTCCGGTTCGACGATCCGGCCCACCCAAGGCCCACCAAACCGCACGCCTGCCCGGACACCGGGTTCCGGGCCATATCCGGAGCCGCCGTCAGTGCCAACACCTCCACCCCTATAACCGTCCTCCACTTTGACGATATCCGCGATGAGGTCACTGCTGATGCTGCTGCCGGTCAGTATCATCATCACGGCTACAATTCAAAGACCGGCAACAACAAGGGTTTCGTGGCCGGAGCCTCCAGGGCCGGCTGTAACAATGTTTCACTGGATGGGTTCGAGAGCACGTCCTCGTTCAGTGCCTTGCCCCTACAGCGGGCCCCGCGTGGATGCGAGCCCTCCTCTGCCCCTCTGGAGAGGGCTTTCTTTATGTCGGGCCCGATTGAGCGTGGGGCCATTTCCGGCCCGCTAGACGGAGCTGCCTCCGGCGAAAACAGTGGTGATGTGCCCTTCTCAGCGCCACTCGGGGGAGTTTACGTGAAGAAGAGGAAGAAGAAGAAGAAGGGCATTTCGGGAATGCGCAAGGCATTGTATCGGAACTTCTCGGTGGTGCCTGTAATGAACTTCATTAGTGGAGGAGGTAAGAAAGAACTTCCACCTGCAGACGATGGCACCAGGGAAGGAGTGGAGGTTGGGTATGAGAGCAATGTGCAGTGGGCTTTAGGGAAGGCGGGTGAGGATCGGGTGCATGTGGTAGTTTCGGAAGAGTTAGGTTGGCTGTTTGTTGGAATCTATGATGGATTTAACGGACCCGATGCTCCTGAATTTCTGATGAGCCATCTGTACAAAGCAATGTATAATGAATTAGAGGGTCTATTTTGGGACACAGAAGATGTAGTTGCAGCTGCAGCCCCAGAAAACATAATTGGTGCAGGGAATTCATCTGATGCTGCTGACAGAGAAGGTCCCCAAGAGACGGAAGAAATGAAAGGCGGCGAGATAGGATCACAAATAGGTAAAAAAGTGAAGTTCGGAGGGGAAAATATTGAAGTTAGAAGGAGGAGGTTATGGGAATACTTGGTGGATGATGATGATCCAGGGGAAGGGCTCGATCTATCTGGTTCAGAAAGATTTGCATTCTCAGTAGATGACGCATTAAGTGTAAATGATGCAGGTTCAGCTGTGAAAAGGAGGTCATTACTGTTGTCGAAGCTAAAACATGGGTTGCTGAGTAGGCACAAGGACAAAGAAGGTAGAAGGTTGTTTCCTTGGAAATTTTGGTTGGAGGGGAAACACAAAACAACAGAAGAAATGAGGGAGAATAATAATGTAGTAGATGATGAGAGGGAGAAGATTGGTAAGACTGGCCGGAAGAGGAAGATAGGTGTAGTTGATCATGAGTTGGTATTGAGTGCAATGTCGAGAGCGCTTGAAGTAACTGAGCAAGCTTACTTGGATATGACAGATAGGGTTCTTGATCGTTATCCAGAGCTTGCATTGATGGGTTCTTGCTTGTTGGTTGTATTGATGAGGGATGAAGATGTTTATGTGATGAATGTTGGGGATAGTCGTGCCATTGTAGCCCAGTGCAAAACTGAAGATGTAAGCTATGATATAGAATCACAAGTTCCTGAGGATGGTGGGTTCACTGGGGACAGCATAGATGAGGAGTCTGCCGGTGTCAGTCAGAGGGAGAGAAGAGCAGTGAATGAAGCTCATTCGCATCATTGCGTGAATTTGACTGCACTGCAACTGTCCACTGATCATAGCACAAGCATAGAAGAGGTGTGCTTCTGCAGTTTCATCTTTATTCCTTTTTGTGCAAAAATTTAGATGGCTGATAAATTGGTTTTTTTTTTTTTTTCTTTGGAATAATATTTTGCTGAAAATTGAAGGTAGGTACTGGACACCTTGAGCTTTATTATTCTGAAAATTTCTAGTATGAGAAGGTTTTGTTGTGTATGTGTACTTATTCTGTATAACATACGGACACACTTATTGATTTTTAATACTAGGAGTTTGTCCTCGGAAGATTTAGTGAAGTGGATTGCAGCAGATTTAAGATGACTGGTATTGGCTTAACTCCTCTTAAGCATTCATCATTAGTGGTAGTCCCAACATTACAATGATGGGATCCATAAATCATGTCTGTCAAATAAGATAGGGAATCAATTAGAGTTTTCTGTGACGAAAATTTGTCCGAGAAGAAATTTTGTGGTACTCTGCAGTTGCAAGTTTCTAGGTGTAAAATGTTTCGGAAAGCAATGCAAGAACCTAATCTAGTTAGTGATAGATGTCTGATTCGCATTTTTTGGCCGTCCATGTTAATTGTCACACAATAACCAGGGTAAATTACAAGGAAAGAGTGAATTAATTGCGGGATTAGTTACTAGAACTGGGTATCCGTGCAAGAGAAATGATAAGCATTCACACAATGAAAGGAGATACTGATGTAAAAGTTATATTATTGTAATTGTTTAATAGATTAAAATCTAAAGGCATTAAAAAGGGGGAGTGAGAATCTATTTTTATTATGAATTTGAACTTGGGAGACCTCAATGAAAGATGGGGTTAAGATTTTGAGTTTGAGTATATAAGAAAATGCAGAACTGAGAATAGTTTGTAGAACTAGATAGAGAAGTGACTCATCTTTAGAAGGTTAGAAATCTCAAATGCATCTGTAGTTTGGCATTAACTGTTTTCTTAAACCCATGACCGTTGTCTATTCAATACTACAATATCTTAGGTTGAAGCCAAAAGATTTTCTAAGATGACGTACTATTGGTGCCAATGATGAAAGTCAGTCAAAGCAATCTTGGGAAGCTCTCTTTCAGGACTCAATTACTCAAAAGGAGAAAATCGTGATCTAATTGCTCATTTAAATTTTTGAGTCATGAATATATTGAGATAAAATGGTGCGTCTTTTTACTCAAATTTATCTGTTAATTCACATGCCTAGAATTCCATAAAATAGTTCAGGATTATCTAAAATTTTGACTTCTTACCTAGTCGTAGTCTTTTGAACCTGAATCAATGATTCGGTTGCCATGAGGGTTGACACTAATGAACCACTTTCAAATAATTACCTTTTTGAGCTAATGACAACCAAAGATGAAAAAGAAATAATAAAAAAAAATCTGAGACTCGAGAAGTCTGTCCTTTTGTTCAGGGGGCTATTGTCCACCCCAAACTTTTAATTATTTTTACTATATCTATGTATATAGATATAGTGGCGAAATGCCTATATATGTAGTCATTTAGCTAAAATTTTGCTCTTTCATACCATGTACAATATATAATGTATATTATAAGCATATTCAATTTATACATATACCCCATAATCATTACTAGTTATTAAAATGGTCTATGTACTGAGAATTTTTAACTATATTATATTTTTGTAACTAATTTCCACACTCTTTAAATATCATATTTTTGTTTTTCTTTTATAATATAGTGATTAGTTAAACTGAATGTACGAAATATGTGCAAAGTTGAAAATAAATAATTTAAACAAGGGGGTGAAAAGGAATTTCAAGAATTATTAGCAGATAGTCAATTGTTGATGAGTCTCATGATTTGAAATACCGTCGACCACAAATTTAAAATATCAAACTTCATAAGTTATGTCTATTGTAGAATATTTTTATAATTTATGGTATCGAATTTAGAATGCAACTTTATGCCTTATATGCATATATAAATGATATTACTAAATATTGTGTTTCCTTCTAGAGGTGTTATTGTAGTCGAATTGAATACCTTATAATCAAGCTCATATTTCTTTAATAAATGTGTTGGCTCGGTTTGACTCATTAAATAAACGAACAAAAATGCGAGCCTGAGCTTAATTCATTTAATAAGCAAATTCGATTAGTTGCTCGAGTTTTCACGGGTCAGTTCGAGTCATATTTGCAAATAATTCGTTTCAAATAACAATTTTTCCCCTCCATTTTTTTTTATAATTAGTTACATTGAAAAATGGGTGAAGACTCCTAGAACTACCAAATGGGACAGTAAATAGTTGGGAAAAGGGGCCATTGAAGTAGGACGAAGAAGGTATCATTCACCAGATGTATAGATGGCAAGTTTACCAATTACCATTTTATTGATAGATAGTGATAGTATTTTGGGTTGTTAGACATATATGAATGCATTGTTTAGCTTTCAATATATTGTATGAAAATGGCAGGGATCTTCGTCAGTTTGATGATTTCGTAATTGTGTGTTTAGTTGGAAAACAAGGGAATCTAATTGTATCTTGAGGTCTGGTTGATCAGTATGATTCATGATCTAAACGAAATCGAGTGAATTAGTTTCAGAAATTTATCAATGCATTTCTCTTATCTCTCTTTGCTACTAAGCCATCTTCTAAAATCCTTTAGGCAAATATATTAAATTGTTTTTTCTAAATTACCGTGACTGTTCCCTGACCGGAGTACTGGGCATATGTATATCAGCTTTATCCATTCTGTTTATACCTTATTAAGTTGAAATGCAGTTGATCTTTTTTTGGAAATGTATTACATTTGCGCCTGTTCATTAATTAATCTATGTGATTGTCATTGTCAGGAAGTCATTAGAATCAAGAATGAGCACCCAGATGACAGCAATTGTATTGTGAATGATCGAGTTAAAGGTCGTCTTAAAGTAACCCGTGCTTTTGGGGCTGGATTTCTCAAACAGGTATGCGCATCAGCTCATAATCAGTATATTAGTTTCCTTTTACATCTGTGGATGCCTAGCAAGTCAATGAATAAACAACATAGAAAATACACACCACATACATGGGTATATTCACAATTCATCTAGAATGTCATTTGCTCAAAGTTTATGAATTTCAAAATATACTAAGAAGTGAGTAAGATAAAGCTACCAGTAAAGATCTTAGATTGAAATTCGAGGACTTTAGAGCTTTATAAATAAGACTTAAATTGTATTTATCGATCTTATTTAAGAAATAACAAATGAACCTAGATGTTATCTTATAAAATAATTTAGAAAAAAAAATATTATAAAATAAAGGCAAGTATACCACATAACGAGGGCCAAGAGTGATAGATGCAAGACAAAGAGAAGTCCAAGGCAAAAACTTTGCCTCAAAATGAATATTAATGTTTCAACATCTATAATGTACTTTACCGAGCTCCCTTTATCTTTTTCATTTTCCTTATGTTTTCTCTATTTTTGTTTGTTTTGCGGTGATGCAGCATAAATGGAATGATGCCTTGCTTGAAATGTTTCGAAACGATTATATTGGTACTGCCCCCTACATATCGTGTTCACCATCCCTACGCCACCACAAACTGTACCCAAGAGACCAATTTTTGGTGCTTTCATCTGATGGATTGTACCAATATTTTAGCAATCAAGAAGTCGTTTCCCATGTGCAAAATTTTATGGAGAGATTCCCTGATGGAGACCCTGCTCAGCACCTCATAGAAGAGCTTCTGTTCCGTGCTGCCAGAAAAGCTGGTAAACTTTTCATCTTTACAGATTATGAATTATGTTTAATAAAGCTTTTTGCTTTAACTGATTAGTAATCATTGCTTTGGCATGTTGTGCCGAATATTTCTATGTCATGCTTCTCACTTGCTTGGGCTTATTGTTATTTGTAAATGGTTTTTTCTGAGTGCAAGTCTTTCCTTTTCTCCCCCTTATTTTATATCCCCCTCATTCGTTGTTTGACTTCATATTTTGCCATTGTCTTATAATCCTGAGTACAAGGAATTTCGGGTAAGACAGGGAGGAATGGATTTATGTAAGCTTTTTGGCGAAAAGTTATGTTAAACGGGAGAAAATTTATTTGCTGCCTATGACAATGATTTCACTATTTCAATTTATAATATATGCATAAATATACTTAATACAATGAAATGGAAAACGGTATAAATGAAATCAAGATGTGTGCTTTTTTTTGCTATTCATGTAGAGATTTTTCTGTCCATTGCTGTATTCACTTTTTTGAGTCGTAAAATTTGCTGTTTTGTGAACCGAATAATATTTTTTTGCAGGAATGGATTTCCATGAGCTTCTAGATATTCCACAAGGAGATCGTCGAAAATATCATGACGATGTGACTGTTATGGTGGTATCGCTTGAAGGTAGGATTTGGAAGTCATCTGGAAAGTACTTATGAGCACTTGCAGTAAAACTTACACAAGGGTAGGAAAGTTTGGTGTTCGTTTATCAGCTAATCTGATAAAAGCCTCATTTTAAATGTGGGGAGCTAAGGGGAAAGAAATTAAACATGATAGAATTCATGTGCAATGAAGGCTTGAAGAAATGGTTAAAAAGAACAAAAAAGAAGAAAAAAGAACAAAAGGATGTTTTCAGGAATAGGAAATTTTGTAGTTGCTGCTGTAAACTTGTGTTAGGAAAAAGCTGGACCTGTTTTTATTTTTCTTTTTTTTTTTCTTTTTAAGTTTTGGGAATATTGAAGAGCCTTATCATTCGTTTGTTGGTCATGGTGGGGGATTAGTGGGTGATTTAAAGAATTTAGTAGGTATTGACTTTGACATCTTTTAGATGCCTTATTGGAAGGGTTTAATTGAAATCCTGTGAATTTCCAATGCCATTTACAAGGAAAATTACCCAGATTCAGTGGCGTGTTGTAAAATCATATGAAGATGACAAATCAGTGAATCACATAATATGGTTACAAAACATAAGATTTTTTTCGGAAATTTTTATGTTGTATAAGTTACAGATGAAAAATGGAAACAAGGTTTTTTTTTTTTCTTAAAAAAAAAAGTGAGATAGAGTTGAGATTTTGGATTAATATAAGAAAAAATTGAAATGATTGAAGTTGTGGATTGTGGTGTGGAAATAATACATATTTATTGATAAGAGTGTTAATTATAAATGTGTTGATTGAATAGTAATTATTATTATTATTATTATATTTTTTTTTTCAACTTATATTGGTGGGATAGAAGAAAAGAACGAGATGAGAGAAATAGTAGTTTTTTCATATTTTTTTTTTATTTCTTATTTCAATAAAATAAATCTTAACTCAACAATCATTTTTTTACTATCCCAATATAAGTTGATAATAAAATCATTTTCCACATTAAATCATTTTTTCTTGAGACCGATTTGATGTAGCCACATAAATTGATAATAATCCCATAAAATATCACAGTACAAGGAACCAAAAAAATATATCAATCCAATTTGACAATTAGTTGATAGCTGATTATATTAGTTGATTGTAATAACTAATTGGATTAGTGGATTATATTAAATAGTAAATGTATGTAAATATTTGTTTGGTAAATAGTGAGTTATATACTTGAATAGTTATATTGAAAATCTTATATTGAAACGTTATTCTATGAATCTACTATTCTAATAATGCTCTTATATTTATTTATTTTTCTTCAAAACTTATCATTTTACGCTAAAAATAGTAATCGCATAAGTTCTTTATCGAACATGATAATAGTGTATTAAAGGTAAATATTATGGT